TCCCTCTGCAAAATGCCAGGCGCCATCTTGACTTGTTTACAGACTCTAACACCTTGGAGTCCAGGGAGCTCTTATAGGGCAACAGCCAAAGTAGAGGGGACTTGCCCCTCCATGCGGGAGACCCTTCCCAACTGGGTGTCTGGGGGAGCTCCTATACCACTGCAGCCAAGGTAGAGTGGTCTCACCCCTCCAGGTGAAATACCCATCTAGGCAGGAGACCCCTCTCACCTGGGTGTCAGGAAAAGCTACTATACCAACACAGCCAGGGAAGAGGGGACTTGCCCCTCAAGGCGGGGAACCCCTCCCACCTGGTGTCATACACCGCCTCAGCCAAGGTACAGGGGCCTCACCCCTCCAGGCAAGAGACTCCTTCCACCTAGGTGTCTGGCTGAGCTCCTATATGTCCGCAGCCAGGGTAGAGGGGAATCGCCCCTCCAGGCGGGAGACCCCTCCCAACTGGTTGTCGGGGGAGGTCGATTACTGCTGCAGCCAGGTAGAAGGGACTCGCCTCTCCAACCTGGGTGTCTGAAGGAACTTCTTTACTGCCTCAGCCAATGTAGAGGGGACTTGCCTTTCCAGGCGAGAGACCCCTCCCACCTGTGTGTCTGGGGGGAGCTCGTACACCACTGAAGCCAGGGTTGAGGGGACTTGCCCCTCTTTGCAGGAGACCCCTTCCACCTGGGTTTCGGGAGGAGCTCATATACTACTGCAACAAGGGTAGAGCGGACTAGCCCCTCCAGGTGGGAAATCCCTCCCACCTGAGTGTCCAGGGTAGCCTGTATACTGCAGCAGCCAGGGTAGAGGGGACTTGCCCCTCCAGACAAGACACCCCTCCCACCTGGGTATGGGGGGGTGGAGCTCTTATACCACTGCAGCCAGTGTAGAGGGGACTTGCCCCTGAAGGCGGGAGACCCCTTTCTTCTGGGTTTCCAGAAAGAAGTATACTGCCTAAGTATACTGCCTTAGCCAGGGTGGAGGGTACTCACTCCTCCTGGCGGGAGATCCCTCCCTTCTGTCTATGGGGGAGCGGGAGCTCATATACCGAAGCAGCCAGGATAGAGGGGACTCGCTCCACTAGGCGGGAGACCCCTCACACTTGGTTGTCAGGGGAGGTCATATACTGCCACAGGTAGGGTGGAAGGAACTCACCACTTCAGGCAGGAGACCCCCTCCTATCTGGGTGTAGGGTGGAGCTGCTATACCACAACAGCCAGGGTTGAGGGTACTCTCCCCTTTAAGCTGGAGACCCCTCCCTCCTGGGTGTTAGGTGGAGCTCCTATACTGCCTCAGGCTGGGTAGAAGGGACTCACCCCTCCAGGCGGGATTCCCCACCCACCAGGGTTTCAGAGGGAGCTCTTATACTGCCACAGCCAGGGTAGAGGGGACTCGCCCCTACAGGCCATAAACCTCTCCCTCCTGGGTGTCTCGGGAATTTGTATATTCCCTTAGCCAGGGTGGAGGGGACTCGCCCCTCCAAGCTGGAAAGCCTCTGATCTGGCTATTGGGGGGGGGCTCGTATATATGGCTGCATTCAGGATAGAGGGGACTCGCCCCAATAGGCTGGAGAACCCTCACACATGCTTGTCAGGAGAGCTCATATTCTGCCAGAGGCACAGTAGAGGGGACTTGTCCCTCCAGTTGAGAGACTTCTCCCTGGGGGAGCTCCTATACCTCTGCAGCCAGGGGAGAGGGGACTTGCTCCTCCAGGTGGGAGACCCCTCCCACCTGGGTGTGGGGGAACTCAAAACAGCCACAGCCAGGGGAGAGGGGAATCGCCCCTCCAGGAGGGAGACCCCTCCCACCTGGATGTATGTGTGGGGGAGCTGCTATACCGCAGAAGCCAGAGTATTGGGGACTCGCCCATCCAAGCAGGAGACCTTCCCACCTGGGTGTCACTGGGAGCTTGTATACAACCTTAGCCAGGGTAGAGGGGAATTGCCACTACAGGCAAAAGAAGCCTCCCACCTGGATGGGGGGGGCTCTAATACACCCAAAACCAGAGTATAGGGTACTTGCCCCACCAGGCGGGATACCCCTCCCACCAGGGTGTCAGGGGGAGCTCATATACTGCTGCAGCCAGGTTAGAGGGGACTTGCCTCTCCAGGAAGGAGACCCCTCCCACCTGGGTGCCGGAGGGGGCTCCTAAAACCGCACTGTTAGGGTAGAGGGTTCTCGCCCCTCCAGTAAGGAGAATCCTCCCACCTGGGTGTCGGGGGAAGGTAGCTCTTATTCTGCTGCAGCCAGGATAGTGGGGACTCGCCCCGATGTGCAGGAGACCCCTCCCACCTGGTGTAGCAGGGATCTTGTATACCACCTTAGCCAGGTTAGAAGGGACTCAACCCTTTAGACAGGAAATTCCTCCCAACTCGGTGTTAGGGAAAGCTAGTATACCACTGTAGCTGCTAGGGCAGAGGGAACTTGCCCCTTCAGGTGGGAGACTCCTCTCATCTGGGTATGGCGGTGAGCTCCTATACTACCACAGCCAGGGTAGAGGGAACTTGCCCCTCCACGCGGGAGTTGCCTCTCACTTGGGTGCCTGGGGGAGCTTGTACATTGCTGCACCAGGGTAGAGGACACTCTCCCCTCTAGGCAGAAGACCCCTCCCACCTGGGTATCCAGGGGAGATGCTATACTGCTGCAGCCAGGGTTGAGAGGACTCACCCCTCCAGGGGAAAGACTCCTCTAGGCAGGAGACCCCTCCCACCTGGGTGTCAGGGAAAGCTACTATACCACCAGAGCCAGGGTAGAGGGAACTCGCCTCTTCAGGCAGGATATCCCTCCCATCTTGGTATAGCAGGGGGCTCCTATACTGCCTCAGCCATGGTAGAGGGCTCACGCCTCAAGGCGGGCCCCCTCCCATCTGCGTGTCTGGGGGAGCTTGTACACCAATGCAGCCAGGGTAGACGGGAGTCATTCCTCCAGGTGGGAGACCCCTTCCACCTTGGTGTCAGGGAAAATTATTATACCACTGCAGCCAGGTAGAGGTGACTAGCCCTTCAAGGCCGGAGACCCTTCCCTCCTGGGTGTCCAGAGGAGCTTGTATACAGACTTAGCCAGGGTGGAGGGGACTCTCTCCACAAGGCGGGAGACCCCTCACTCCTGGGTTTTTGGGGGAGCTCATATACCACCGCAGCCAGGGTAGAGGGGACTTGCCCCTCCAAGCAAGAGACCCTTCCCACCTGGGTTTGCGTGGGAGCTCCTATACCGCAGCAGACAGGCTAGAGAAGACTCACCCCTCCAGGCAGGGGACCCATCCCTCCTGGGTGTCAGTGGGAGCTCCTTTACCACTGCAGCCAGTGTAGAGGAGACTGGAACCTCCATGCAGGAGACCCTTCCCACCTGGGTGTCAGGGAAATCTAGTATACCACTGCAGCCAGGGTAGAGGAAACTCGGCCCTCCATGCGGGAAACCCCTTTCACCTGGGTGTCTGGGGGAGCTTGTACACCGCCTGAGGCAGGGTAGAGCAGATTCGCTGGTCCAGGAAAGCTAGTATACCACCACAACCAGGGTAGAGGGGACTCGCCCCTTCAGGCCGGAGACCCTCCCATCTGTATGGGCCGGGGGAGCTCGTATACCGATGCAGACAGAGTAGAGTAGACTTGTCCCTCCATTCGGGAAACCCCTCCCACCTGGGTGTCTGGTGGAGCTTGTACACCTCCTCAGCCAGGGTAGAGTGGACTCGCCCCTCCAGGCGGGAGACCCCTCCCACTGGGTGTCTGCTGGAGCTCCTATACCGCAGCATCCAAGCTAGAGGGGGACTCACCCCTCTAGGCGAGGGACGCATCCCACCTGGATGTCTGGGGGAACTCTATAACCCACAGCCAGGGTGGAGGGGACTTGCCGCTCCAGGTGGGAGACCACTCCCACCTAGGTTTCGGTTGGTGGTAGCTCATATACCACTGCAGCAAGGTAGAGGGTACTGGCCCTTCCAAGCTGGAAACTCCTCCCACCTGGATGTCTGGGGAAACTGGAATACCTACCTCTGCAGCCTGGGTAGAGGGGACATGCCCCTCCAGGCAGGAGACGCATCCCACCTGGGTGTCAGGGGGAGCTCTTATACCACTGCAGCCAGGGTAGAGGGGACTCGCCCCTCCAGAGGGACACTCCTCCCACCTGGGTGTCACAGTGAGATTGTATACCACATTATCCAGGGTAGAGAGGACTCGCCCCTCCATGTGGGAGATCCCCCCTTGAGTGTAGGCCGGAGCTTGTACACTGCCACAGCCAGGGTAGAGTGGACTTGCCTCTTCAGGCAGGAGACTCCTCCCACCTGGGTGTCAGGGAAAGCTAGTATACCACTATAGCCAGGGTAGAGGGGACATGCTCCTCCAGTCGGGAGACCCCTGCCACCTGGGTGTGTGGGGGAGAGCTCCTATACACTCGCAGGTCAGCATGAGAAAGAAAGAAGAAGCAGAGCAAGCAAAGCAGCAGAAGAAAAAAAGTCTTTTATTGTATACAGCAATCTTTTTTATAGTATTGTGAACAAAGAAGGCAGCCTTCCACCAGCAATAAATCAGGTCTTTTAGCTAATTAAACATAGCATACAGAAGTTTTACTTTCTAATCAGAAGTGACCCGCTTCTCATGGCTAATCTACTGTTGGCCTGAGCATGCTGAGCTCTGCTCTTTGTCAAGAACAGATAAAAAATTTTTTCTTAGTGCCCTCCTAGCCCACTTGGGAGAACATTCCCTTTGCAGGCAAGTCCTCCCAAGGACAGTAGACACCTCGTTTTCAAGCATGTCCACTGTTACCTTATCTAAACTTTGAAGGAACCTCTCGTTTGCGAGTAAGCCCCAACAAAGACAACAAAACATCTCATATGAAAGCATGATTTGCTGTCACCTTATCTAGACCTTGACAGACTATCCCGTTTGCAGGCAGACTCCATCAAGGGCAATAATAATTATGTTTTCAAGCTCACAGTCACATCTGATTCTCTACATCTCCCTCCTTCTGTTTTTGTAAATGAGCATAGCAGAAGCAATAAGAGAGGTTTCATGTTTCAGTTGCCTTCGCTTTTTTCAGCGTTGGAAGACTATATACAAAACAAAACAGAAAACAAAAATTATTACAGTGTTACCTAAAGAAGTTGACAACAAGGTAGAGAAATGACTTAAAGGATTTAAATTAGCAATACTTGAAGACGATTTTTGTAAAATATCAGATCCTGTTAGTTCAGGTAATGTCTTACTAAAGGTGTCAATCATAGTTTTTTCCAAATTCATGATTTCAAAAGTTAAATTTTGATGTCCATTTAACCATCTTTTAACAGTTTCCCAGGAATCACTGGTATTATATGGCCCAGGAGTCACACAAATATGAGAAGAATTCCAGTCACACTTTAGAACATTTCTGGTAGCCAAAATAGTCACTTTATCGCCAAGCCAGGAAACAGTATGTTGTAAATGTATCACATCTGTAGCCAATTGAGAGTCTAAGTCCTTTTGTTGTTGCCATAATAAATGAGCATCTTGATGCCATGTTCTCATGAAATCCGCAGTTTGAATGCCTTGATGTAAAGCAACGCCAGCTACTGCAGCAGTGGCAGTTACAGAAGCAACTGCAAGGATAGAAGCTATAACTATTCCTGCCAATCATCGAGAGTTATGTAACAAAACTTGAACAGCATTGTACAAATGAGTAACAGACAATGAATCAGACCAAGGACAAGTCAAATTAACAGGCACCCACAATTCTGTGCGAGCTTTAATAATAACTAAAGAATAATTATTAATTTCTATTAATTTCCAATTAGTTCTATTTACACATTGAGTAAGATAACAGTCTATACATGATCTTGTTCCCCAAGTTTCATTCCAATCACAGTTTCCAATCATAAGAAAATAAGGTAATTTAACACATGCAGAAGCAAAATAAGTCAGATTATTATATAGATGTACTTCAAAAGGAGAGGAATGGGATACATCTAATGTGAAATTTCCAGTCCATACAGTGAGTTTCCCAGATACTTCCCATAATTTTTATATATCCCCTTGAATATTGGAAAACTTTGTATGCTGTAACATTGGAGGGACCAAAGCATAATGTTGCATTTTAATTGTCTCATTACCCCAAGCATTTATTGTCCCATTATGTCGATGCCATCTTAAAGTACGATTTGACCAACTTTTTATAAACTTAGAATGATCAGGACTCCAATCAACTATAGTGATATTTTGATATTTAACTACTGTTTTAGGGTGATGATCACGACATTTTTCCCACTCTAAATGAGTTAAAAAGGTTTCAAAGTATTTAGCTGAACATAAAGGAAGATGAGTTCTGATAAAACATTTTTCAGATGTTAGCAATGATTGATTAACATACATATTAGAGGTATTAAATCTTCGGGAAGATATCATGACAGTAAAAACAGCAGTAGAATAACTATGATAATTAACTCCCCAAGTATTATAGGAATGAGAACTGGTATGTGCTATAAGAGGCGAACAGAAAGAACGAGTCCCTATACACAATGGAACTCCTTCAACAGCTAGTTATCTTAGAAATATTATACAGATTTTTATGGAATGGAATAGCTTTAATTCCCACACATACAGGAGGGGGGGGAATTAGTATTATTAGTACACACACAAACTTTAGGTTCTCCCAGGAAACACTGTGCACCAAAGGAGGGTTAGGAACATAGGCCCAATAAGCAAAAGAATGAGCAGAAACTATACTTACCTGGCAATTAGTAACTGCAAGCATAGCTAATAAAAGATTAACAAGATTTAAAGGCTGATTTGCCTTTTGAAGGTTTTTTTCAGCTTCTTGAGTCAACTTTTTCTTCTGTCCCCATGTTGGGGGGTCTGCTGTTCTCGTTGCCATTGTAGAAGTTCTCTGCATTGCCAGCTCCTGAAATTGTCTGACAAATGGGTCGCTCATTCTGCAATTTGATAAGTATTGAAGGTACCCAGAAAGGTGTTTTACCTGTAGAAATAAGAGCAAACCCCCTTCCCATGTGGTGCAATAACCTAGAAATCCATTCTTATTTTTCATCCCTGTACCATATAGGTATTTACGATTTTTGAAATAATGGCTGAGATTTAAATGTAGAGAAATGTTGCTGGGCTGCAGGAACCTTGGAACCTGACTAGACATTAAAAGATGTAAAGTTAGTAAAGTTTTATGAAGTATATTTTGAGGTGTATAAGCCATAGCCATATGCCCCCTTTTTATTTTTAGTATATATATTTTTAACGTATGATTTGTCCTTTTTATAATAGCTTGACCTTGACTATTATAAGGTATGTCAAATGTATGTGTAATGTCATATTTCTGTAAAAATGAATGTAATTTTTGTGAGGTATATGCAGGTGCATTGTGAGTTTTAAGTTCTCTAGGAATTCCCATGACAGCAAAACAAGATAATAAATGAGAAATGATTGCATCAGCTTTTTTTGAAGATAATACTGTGGCCCATAGAAAATGAATATGAGTGTCAATAGTATGGTGTACATATCTTAGTCGTCCAAATGACTGAATTATAACAACATCCATTTGTTAAAGGGCATTAGGATGGAGTCCCCTTGGATTAACACCAGGAGGACAGTAAGGAATATTAAAAGGAGCACATGATGAACAGTTAGCTATAATTTCATGTGTTTGTTTTTGAGTTATTTTGTATTTTTTATAAAGTTCTTTAGTGTTTGTACAATGTAAAGCATGTTCTAGATGAGCCTTTTGTAAGGGGAATAATAGTTGATCAATATTTTGATTTTTTCTAGTTAATGGTCCTGGCAGTGTAGAATGTGCTCTAATATGAGTAAAATGTACTGAAATTTGGCCTACTATTTTTGTAGGTATTTTTACATGTAGTGAGATAGGACATAGAGTCTTATCTTAGGTAAGCAGGGCTCTTTATAAACCTTAAGTAAAGTGTTGTAGTTTTAAAGTTTATTTTTGTTTTTAAATATAATTTTATATAAATAATTGTTTAAGTTTATTTGAGTATTAACTAACACAATATGATAACACATCTAAAACATGAAATAAAGAAAGGTTGAAAGCTTTTAGCTTTTTGTATAAAAATAGAAAAATGTTTTTGTGTTTTATAATATTAACCTTTATGTAGATTAGGCTCTCATTAACTTAAAAAATACATTTTAATTGTATCTCAGTGTAAAAAGTAACATAAAACTTTATATATCTTATTAATAATAGGCCCAGTTATAGAACATTAAATGATATAAATAAATCTCCAATGTTATTTTTATAAGCCTAAAATTACCATGCAACCTTTTGGAGAACACCAGCTTGATATAATTTTTTAAAGCTTCTATCTTAATGATTTATATACCTGGAAAATATGAATACATTTAATATACAAAGAAGAGTGTTAGTACCACAATTACTATTGATGTTTTTATATTAATCAAGTTTAGCTCTTAAAGAAATAACATATTAGAATATTGCAAAATAATAGTTGTTGTTTAACCATAGTTGTATAATCCTTAATTCCTTCAAGATTAATTGCTCAAAAAACTTACATATATAGCCAATGTACAAAGACCTTCTTTATCCCTTGCTTAAACCCTCTTATTTATTCACTTCCAGAAACAAATTTTTCTTCTATTAAATCCATACCTAGAACCTTCTAATTTTTTTTCCATCTTTTAACTCCTTCTTTACTCATACTTTGAAACAATCCTTGTAAATTTTTGAATTTAGGCAAATTATTCCATTTTAATAAGAGATATTTTGTTATTTGTAGTACACAATTAATCACATCTGTTTACCATATTATGAAAATATAGTGTCTAAATATCAGGGATGACAAAGCAACCATTTATTTATTATTTATTTACCAACTTAAAAATAATCAATAATGTTATCTAATGTAATTTAAGGAGTTAAAAATATTTAATGGTATATTTAACATTTAGCATATTAACCTTGTAAATCAATCAGATATTTAACAAAAGTACTCATAATAAAAGTACTCATAAAAGTAATCTTATGTCTAATTAATTTACTTATTTTATCAAAACATTAGACAAGTATAATGAACAGTGTTAGCCATTTTGTTGATGTTGTTGTTGAAGAAAAGTCCTAGAACCAAAGCACATCAGACAGTAACATGTTAAAGACATCTCATTTTTTTATCTGTTTACCCAATTTAAATTTAACCATTTAAATCAGTGAATTAAAAATATTTGAACCCATTTTTTAAAAATTTTTACGAGCGCTCTTTACATATATATCAATCTTTATATCATGTACATGATATATGGACATACGCACGAACAGACATACAACACATAATACAAGTGTGCACACATAACACAATAAAGGCCTTGTAGCTATTTTAGGTGAAATTTCCATTGTAATGTTTAAATACTCCACAGTTGGTCAAAAATAGAACTGATCAGAAAAACATTAACTTAGGTCTGTAGGATCAAAATTATGAGCTCAAAAAATACAGAATCTAAGAAAAAGCAAGAGTCCTAGAAAAAAATGACCGGCCGGTAATTAGAAAGTACCATAAAATTTACGCTTTTTGTTTAGTTTAGTTTGACTTCAGGTAAAAGACACCTTTACCTTTTTTGTGACAATCCTTTATAAATTTGTACTTTACTGTAGTATAATGAACATCAATCATTTGGGGATTATGAAGGTTTTGTTGTCCAGTTATAGGAAATAAATGTGGTGGATTAACAAAACCACTAGAGGGAGGTGTAAGATCATCATCATCATCATATATCATAGTAAGGAAATGAAAAGTGCTGTTGTTTTTTAACCATATCAATTTTATACTTTGTCATTGTAAAGAGAGAAGCATTAGAAGGAGTAGTAGGTTTAAGAGAGGACCTTTGCTTTTTTAATTTCATTTTTTCCACAAAGGCCTCCATAATTTCTTTTATATTGGAGTCACTATCTGAACTTTTTGAATCTTCCACATCACCCAGATCTGATTTAGGAGAATCATCTATAGTATCACAGATATCTTCCTTGGGCTCCGTTTTGTTAATCTTAGTATCAGATTTTGATGTATCAACTTGGCTTTCACAATGAGAACCCTTTTCATTATTGCTTTCTAATAATTGTAATGCTTGAGTAATAGCGCTACACAATGTCCAAATCTTCAAAGAAATAACATTCCCAGCCTGATGCTGCTTATGGAGTTCTTTCTGAACCAATTTCCATTCCTATAAATTTAACTGGACCTTGGTTTGAAACTGGAACCAGTGACAATGACATTCTATAATTTTAAATAACTCTTTAAGTCTCTTATGATATGTTTTTACATCTATGGAATACAATAATCTTTGTAGTAACTCCACATATTGTTCCTTTAAGGACTGGGAGTTTTCTATGTTAATTCTGAAAGTCCCCCTTAAGTTTTCTCAACCTGGGGTGAATACCCTTTTGATGTTTTGTTAGTTCTGAAAGTCCCCCTAAAGTCTCTTTCAACCCAGGGGATACCCTTTCGATATTTTGTTAATCCCAAAAGTCCCCTTTCATTTTCTTAACCTGGAGTGCTTACCCTTTCGGTGCTGGATCCTGCTCACATGCCAAATGTTGCAGTAATTCACTCGCAGGTCAGCTTGAGAAGAAAGAAGAAGCAGAGCAAGCAAAGCAGCAGAAGAAAAAAAGTCTTTTATTGTATACAGCAATCTTTTTATAGCAGGTCTTTTAGCTAGTTAAACATAGCATACAGAAGTTTTACTTTCTAATCAGAAGTGATCTGCTTCTCATGGCTAATCTACTCTTGGCCTGAGCATGCTGAGCTCTGCTCTTTGTCAAGAACAGATAAAAAAAAAAAAATTTCTTGGCGCCCTCCTAGCCCACTTGGCAGAACATCCCGTTTGCAGGCAAGTCCTCCCAAGGACAGTACACACCTCTTTTTCAAGCATGTCCAATGTTACCTTATCTAAACTGTGAAGGTACCTCTCGTTTGTGAGTAAGCCCCAACAAAGACAACAAAACATCTCATATGCAAGCATGATTTGCTGTCACCTTATCTAGACCTTGACAGAATATCCTGTTTGCAGGCAGACTCCAACAAGGGCAATAATAATCACGTTTTCAAGCTCACAGTCACATCTGATTCTCTACAGGGAAAGCTAGTATACCACCACAGCCAGGGTAGAGGGGACATGCCCCTCCAGTCGGGAGACCCCCTCCCACCTGGGTGTTGGGGGGGGGAGCTCCTATACCTCCACAGCCAGGGTAGAGGGTACTCTCCACTACAGGCAGGAGACCACACCCAATGGGTGTGTGGGGGAGCTTGTATAATGCTACAGCTAGGGTAGAGAGGTTCCCCCTGCGGGCAGGAAACCCCTCCCACCTGGATGTCCTTTGATCTCTTATAGGGAACCAGCCAAAGTAGAGGGGACTTGCCCTTCCAGGTGGGAGGCCCCCCCGCCTGTGTGTCAGGGGGAGCTTGTATACCGCCTTAGCCAGGGTAGAGGGGACTTGCCCCTCCAGGCGGGAGACCCATCAAGGCGGGAGTCCCCTCCCCCAATTGGGTGTCTGGGGGAGCTTGTATACTGCCATAGCCTGAGTAGAGGGGACTCGCCCTTCCAGGTGGGGAGCCAAGTGCCTCCGAAGCCAAGGTAGAGGGGACTCGCCCCTCCAGGTGAAAGACCCTTTCCACCTGGGTGTCAGGGGAGCTCTTATACTGCAGCAGCCAGGGTAGAGAGGACTCACCCCTCCAGGAGGGAGACCACTCCCAACTGGGTGTCTGGGGGAGCTTGTATACCACTGCAGCCTGGGTAGAGGGACTCGCCCCGTCAGGTGGGAGACCCCTACCACCTGTGTGTCCAGGATAGCTCCTATACCACTGCAGCCAGGGGAGAGGGGACTTGTCCCACCAGGCGGGAGACCCCTCAAACCTGGGCATCTGGGGGAGCTCGTATTCCACCAGCACTAGGGTAGAGATGACTGGCCCCTCCTACCTAGGTGTCCGGTGGTGGGGCTCTTATGCCACCCTAGCCAGGGTGGAGGGGACTCACCCTTCCAGGCGGGAGACCCCTCCCACCTAGGTGTTTAGCGGGGGAGCTCCTATACCACTGCAGCCAGGGTAGAGGGGACTCGCCTCTCCAGGTGGGAGACCTCTCCACCTGGGTGTCAGGGAATGCTAGTATACCAGGGTAGAAGGGAATCGCCCCTTCAGGCAGGAGATCCCTCTCATCTGGATATGAGGAGGGAGCTTCTATACAACTACAGCCAGGCTCCTGGGGAATGGCAAGAGGGGCACCAAGGACAGGCTCAGGTGGCCACAGGGCTGGCCTGTCCTTGGGGTGGCTGCAGGGATCTGAGGGGGCAATCCATGTGGTTCATATGTGTGAGAACTGGAGCCCTTGCAGGGCTGTTTTTTCCCTGGATGTTTCACACTGGATGATCACTGAGAGTTGGTACCTGAATGAGATTATGAGAGTGGCAGGGGTGGCCAGGCTGATCTCCAGGAAGAGGGCAGAATCTCCTGGGAGAATTAATGGTCAGGTTGGGGAGAAAAATAGGAGAGATGGGCAAGGAGGGGACCGGCCCTGGAGGTCAGGAGCCCTGTAGTTCAGAAGGCTGCAGAGGCCAGGGGGTTGGCCCAGTGAGGCTTTCTGGTGGATAGGGAGGGGTTGCTTTCCAAGGTGGAGGGCAGGAAGAGGTCAAATGGGGCAGCCATGGTGTAAGGTCAGAGGACACCCTCCTGACTTCCTGGTTGGGTTTTCTGTATTCCCTGGGCCCCCACTGTAAATACAAACAATGCCACAAAGTTGGATTTGATTATTTCATATAAAGATGCCCCCTCATGCTTGCTCAGCAGAGGGTTTGCTATGGAGACCAGGGGGGAAGGCCCCAAGGGGGCCCAGGCTGGAGCCAATTACTGTGGCTGCAGCAGAAGAAAGCCCACCTCGGCCGCTGTGTGGATA